ACGACGTGGGAATAGATGCCGTAAATCGGTACTCAGTCTTGCGAAACACAGTCTGACCTAAAAGATAGTTCAATTCGACGGGTGATTTAACACGGATGTAATTCGATATTATGGATATAACGCTTATGGATACATGTAGTTTTATAGAATTTTTTACAACGCACAGTACTTCTTTAATTACCGTGCTTGTAAATTATATTACTAAAACATTCATGTTTAACGTTATCATTATATTTGTAGGTAAAATCAAGTGTACCAGATCCGAACATTACTACGGCCGTTCTCGTGCCAAAGCGGGTACGAAAATTATAACATTGTTTTCTATCGACTGCGATAGTCTTGATATTTTCGAAATCTAATAAGGTGATCCGTGTTCGCACGATTCGGTGGATGGTGCCGGATGGATTTAACATCCCCGAATTCGTGACCGGTTCCGTCGACAATTTTGTTTCGATGACTGTCAAAGCGCAACAGGGTTGCTTTTATTTTCGACCAGTTTAACAATTTTTTAATTTATTTTTTACTTAACAATTAACGACCAAGTCATAATTCGTACCGATGATACAACAAACGTTTACATTGAACAACAGCCTTGTCACAGGAACTCCGGAGAATTATTTCGCACCGTTATAAACGAACTGTAGGGCGGTACCAGGATTTTTGACCATAGTAAAATAATTATAAGATCGGTCCTTGCAAAAAATGAGATGACATTTATTAAACTACGAGTATGGATAATGTTATACGACACTCGAATTTAGTTTACGTATTTCTGTGATTTTACGGTGAACAATTACAATTTTTTCTACTTATTAAAAATTACCATATGATTATATTTTAATTCAGACAGTGATAGGGCTAGGTATTTTGAAATAGGGTTATGGCCCTACTTGGCTTACCCCTGACGCTACGACTGGTACAAAATATAATTACGCTGAAACTTTATTGCGGCGAATCGACACAAACCTTACTGTGCAAAAAGTTTGACCCTAATAATTAAGGCACAATTATTGTGCCTGTACTATTTCGTTATAGCAACCGGTAAAATGCATTATTCAAGTGAAGTTAACTGCAAGAAAGGACGGATAAGCCCGTACTTTTTGTACAATGCTCTTGTTGAACGTATAAACCTATTTTTCCGTAAAAATCTAGCCGATTGAATAAATTGAGTTTTGAAAAAAGTATTAAATACTGAAACGCGTTTCGAAAAACATTCGAATTATTTTTCAAAACTCATATTTAATTGTTACTCAAATGTTTTTAAAAAGTGCTTCGAATTCTATAAAAAAAAAGAAGGTAAAATTCTATAAAAAAAAGAAGGTAATCAAATTTTTAAGTGTTTTCTGTTAAAAAAAAGTCGATCTCAGTACAAAATTTGAATTATCATATGTATACGTTTTAAAAATTAAAACATTTGCAATTGAAATTTTACTGTTTTTTAAATTTTAAATTTTCAATCATTTTATTTTTTGCCATCATATTTTCAAGCATACGATTATTCTAAACATATTTATTTTAATTCTCACAATCTACATAAATTTAAAATTATCAAAGACCAATTATTAATAATTTCGATACATTACACTCCAAGCCCATACAATTTGTAGGTTACCACTACGGTAAAAATAATTATTACCTACATTTAAAAACTGCATAATATTGTACATTCTGCTTATGATATCTGGTGATTGTAATTTCTGATGATAGTCACGCGGAGCAATATAATTATTTAATTTTCCAGAGTTGTAACAAGAATGCGGTCGGAGTAAAAATATTAAAAAAAAAAAAAATGTGTACTTGATATCGGCAAGATATTATTGAAATACTTCATCATTGAATATCATAGATTTGATGTATCCGGAATGAAATTTCGATACCGTTGAAAGTATTAATTGAATACCAGTAGAATACTTTTACTTGAATACATTACAAACGTACTGAACATTGCAGTTTACCGGTGTAAATATTGAATTGTTATGTTCATAATCAGAGTTTGAATTTTATAGCATTTGCTAACCTTTATTGAATAATATATAAAAACAATAAAGTTAAATAAAAATTTATTTTACGGACTAGGGGCTCCATGAATAAAATTTTCTTTTCCTATTTTTTGCATATTTTTTAAACCTTTAGAAAAATCTTTGATGATTGGAGTTATTTTTTGCTAATATTCATAATAATATAATGATCTATTTGGTATTTTTCATACATATTGTTTACATTGAATGAAAAATAGTATTCATTTATATGCGATAAAAGATTTCAACATTTATTTTTGGAACAATTTTTTTAAATTGTTTACCAAAACAATTAATGTATTAATTCATTGGTTAATATTCTAGATATTTATTCAAAAGATAAAGCAAACCATTAGTAAAGATAATAAATTTAATTACATTTTGATTTATATGAATTTTTTTTTTGGTCATGTTAATGTGCATATTTCAGTGATCTGATCCGAACCCTATTATTACAAATGAACGGGCGCGTTCGACAAGCAACCAAACGTGCACTTTGCATTGCCAACGGGGCCATCGATGGAAATCGTAATAATATGCTTATTTTAATGCTACGCCGACACTAGATGGCAGCATAACAGTCGTACGGAAACACGGTTTTCTCTTAGAATCATAGCAGGCCGTATCCGTAAGTGGGGATCGTTGGTGGGGAAGATGGGAAAAATGAAAAAATTCTCTCCCTCCGTTTTGCGCAGCACGAATTGAGATCGCGGTCCGCGTCCGAGTATACGCGATCCGTGGCCCCGGATTACATTTGTTTGGGATTCGATCGAAATCCGTCGAAATACACGGGCGCGATATGAAACACGCGCGCGCGCGCGTCGCTATTGTAACCGACCATCAAAAATACATTATTCGGTCAACCAACCCGAAAGCGGATCCGAAGGAAGGCGCGCGTGGCTATTGTGCCCGGGCCCGGAGAGAGGTTCGATCGGTGCGCGTTGAAAAACGCGCCGAAGATAAATAATGGAAAAATTACGAATAACCTTACATGTTTTTGGTACCGATTAAAGTTCTAGCGAACAATCGGTTTTCTTCGAACGGCCGTAGACGATTCGAAAGCCGAGCGCGCGCAAACTTTCCCCGTTCCGTGATCACCGTAGGATACGTACGCCTGCAGTGTTGGCTAGGTAAACAGCGATATTTCCGTTTGAATGTGACCCAATTGGAATACTCGTTCCGTGAAACGCGGCCTCGCGGAAGCCGATACCCTACAAACGGATCAGGGCGATAGCGCGAACGGTTACGGCGCGCGCAGATGTTCGTATAACGGTGCGTGTAAGCGCAACTAGCGGGTCGACACCAACACCGAGTTCAAACTTAGCGCGCCCTTGATTTTTGTTTTCGATCGATCCATAGCAATCACAGCGAAACACCGTCGTTTTCGGCAATCGGTTTCCGGTTGACTATAGGCTCACCAGTCGTCGTTCGTACCCACCGTTGCAACCGTTGGTCATCAACTTTGTACGGTCCCGATGCCGTTACTAAATCGTATTCAAGGATCGCATGAACCATAAGCGGTAGATTCGATAACCGTTTTGGAAGAACAGCACGGCGAGCAGCGATCATTTTTTCGAGCCGGGTGCACGTTTCTCGCGCACACAACTCCTAGCCCCGAGTAGAAGACGCATACGGTTAACCGATCGTTGTACACTTCGATAACGTCACACCGGGTGACGGCTACGAACGTGCGTACCTCTAACCTCGAAACGGGTCCAAACGACAGCACGTCGCGTTCGAAACGCGTGTCGCTCCGCAGACGAACAATATAAAATAAATAATGTAAATACAATAATATAAAAATACGTTTCCTTTCTCTGGCCGTAGTCGGTTTGTCGCGTCGGCGTTCTCGCACGTCCCACGGGTTCGCGCGCGTTCGACGGACGAATCGCGGGCAAAGTGTCTTTCGGACGAATTCGAAACCGGGGTGGGGAGGATAACGTGCGTGTGCCAAAATACAAAGCTTATCCGTTCGCTGCTTGAACGGAATGTAATCTCTGAAAGGGTGCGCGATGTTCGGCCGCAGACGGAATCGCATCGGGGTCGGACCAGCCACTTTTTCCTCCCGTCGCATGTACGACCGAGTGAAAGCGCGTTTCCGATCGGCGTTCTGTTGCAGCCGTACATCAAATGTATAAACGATAAATACAAAATGATAAATTTTATCGTCCGACAACGCGAAACGAACGGTTACAATACGGTATTTAGGTTGCGAAAACAAAAAGGAAAAAAAAAAAAATACCATAGCAGGCGTGCATGTATAGGCAATCTCGGTACTCTAGTGCGAACGGACCGCGCCGAAGCGTATCATCGTAACACATAAAAGTAGAATCGCTTTAACGATTGTTTTGATGACGGTGCGCGGCGGAGATTGCGACCGGACAACGTATTATTAATATTAACGGTGAGTAGAAATAATGCAGCAAGGTAAAAAAACACGTTCAAACATAACTTTCGTATTGTCGTTTTCTTTGGCAATAACTAAATGCGTTTATTCATTAAATAAAAAATACAAATCTTCTTTTACAAAAAAAAAAAAACATACTGGTAAAAATAAATAAATATAAATATATATATATATATATAATGATGTTCCGATACGACTAAGTTTGTATTATAAATATTATAATATACAAGCGGATAAGCTAATCGAGTCGTTTATAATAATATCGTTGTCATATTATTATTAAGTCGTGTATTGTAAAAAGTCGTTGTGCGCGCCCGCCGCCACCGTCAGCGGGTCACGGCGGTCGCGTACGAGTCACGTGTCAAGTCAAGTCAACGGGTCAGTCGTGTGTCCTAAGTAGCAGTAGTTAACCGTATTAGTATTTTGGTCTTTGGCACTAAATGCTAATATACTATGCAATTATTACAAAAAAAAAAAAAAAGATGATAAAAAACATATAAATTACAACACTAAATATACTCACACGTATTAATGCGCATGATGTGTACGAATACGTATGTATAACGTGTTTTATGGTTTTTTTTTTTTTTTTTTTTTTTGAAAATGGTAAGTGTACGTCGTCATAACGTTTATAATAACGTATTACGTTCAGTCAACGTTTGTCAGTCGTGTAGTGGATGACACTGACGCGCGCACAATAACTGCCGGGTCAGTGTCGACCTAATGTTACAAGTATACGGTAGCGAAGTATGTATAGTACAACAGTATAATAATATTATATGCGGTACGTGATATAATATTATTGTATAAATTAAAAATAAATTAACGAGTCGCGGGAAGGGTAGGGGGATAATATAACAGCGGGTCGGTCGTCAGTCAATATGTGTACGTCGCGGTAGTATTAGTAGTAGTATTGGTATTAACTGGGTAGTAGTAATGGTAGTGGTAGTCGCGGTAGTAGCAGTAGCGTCTACGTACGTATTACAACGGTAACAATACACGCGCGGGCGCACTGCGAGGAGCGTTCGAACATCATCGACGGTTGGGATAAAAAAAAAAAAATGTCCGCAGTCGATGGCTCGTCGTGTCTCCGCGTAGTGCGTTGTTATGTAGAGTATAATGTTACACTTACGAGTCGTACAATATGGTAATAATATATCATACGTGCGTGCGTGCGTGCGTGTGTGTGTGTGTATGTGTGTGTGTTGTGCGCCGCGTCGGAGTTGTTGTTGATGATGATGATGCTTATGGATGTTGAGTTGATGCGATTTAAAATAAATAATTTTTTTTTTTTTTTTTGTTTTCTTGTTGCGATATTGCTATGTTCTCCCGTATCTCGTTGGTGGTGATCGGGACATCAGGCAAGACCGTGCACAAATATTATAAATAAATATATACAAAGCTAGGCTTGCCTTTCACGTCTGGAATAAAAAACAAAAACAAACGTTTAACAATCGAAACCGGAACGGTGAAAAAAATAAATAAATATTAATGATCAATGCACGCCTATGTAGGTGATCCGTGTACGGGGTGTGCACCGGCGCAAAAGCGAAAAAAAAAAAAAATAATAAAAACTGGTTTTCCGTGCGCCGCGTTCGTCAACGGCCCAGCACACACGCGTCGGAGAACGGAATATTAACGTCATTATCATACCATTACTGTTGTTATTACGATCGAAACCAGTTGGACACGTGTTCCAGCTCGAGTTTCTCGGCCTCCGGAAATCCAAATAAACACCTAGACCTGAAAACCAGTTTTTACGGCGGAGCTTTCACTCGGCGGCGGCGGCGGTCGGAAAAATATTATCATCATCGATCGATTCGAAATCTCTCCAGCTCGTGTATTAGTTTTTTTTTCTTTTTATCCTTACACTTGTGCCCGTACATTATCTACTCGTGTATACGTGTACACCTGCATTGTATATAAATCATGGATCACGTACACGCGCGGGCGTCGCATACCCGGTCCCCCTTGAACTTGTCCGACTTTCACCTTGACCGCTTCACCCGGGGGGTGGGGGGAGATTGGTCCGCGGCCGAAAATGCGGTTCCATCGCATACGCGCGCCTTTAACGCTTCCAACACGGGTGTGCGCGCTTGGGCGGGTGGGCAGGCGACGTACACGTATCGTTGTTTCGAATCGTCGAACGCGCGCGCGGGTAGGTTCTCGAACACGTTGAATACGAGTTTCGTACATGTTTTTCGAACAGTGGAAAAACGCGCGGCTCGGATGAACGAGAACCATAACAAATAATGTACTGTGATACGCTCGTACGAATAGTAGAAGAAAAACAGCTCTGTTTTTTTGTTTTTTTTAGCGCATCGATTAATCTATTAACTCTCGACCGCTCGTTAACCCGGAAAACGCGCGTCCGGGTTACACGGTCCGTCGGGTCCCGGGGAATCGGCTCGACGGGGTCTTCTTGGTGCGCGCGCTACGGTCAAACGGCCGAAACGCAAACGCCGCAAGAATCTTAACAGTAACAACGGTAACGTCGTCACGGGCGTAACGAAGTTATCGAAGCTGCGAGCGGGAAAATAGACGGAATAATATTATTCCTTACCGTAATATCTATCTGGCTGCTGGCTTTTGTCCGCCGTAGGCCAAGGTCTGGGCTACGTTGCTGGAGTACGATCCGTGAGCGTCGTGACCTCCTCCGTAGCTGTCCCAGCCGGAGCTCGATGCGCTGTAACCGCTCGGGGCGCTGCTACCGTAGCTGGCGTGTCCGGCGTGAGTTTCGATCTGAAAACCGGACGAAAAAACATTTTTAGACGTATGACGGCAGTGTACGTTTTATCGTGACGTCATGTCACGCGTTACGAAAACGATAAGAATAAATCTCGGAAAACCGACGAAAATTGTGTCTTCGCGCGGCGATGCGAAATGTTATCACGTGCATTTATAGTGTAATCATATACATGCATCTCGCTCGATGTGGTTATGTGATCAGTAGTAACCCTTTCCCTGTCCCGAGGTCGGGACGATTTTTAGGAGGACCGAAACAAAGACCGACGACCTCCCCTTACCCACGCAATGAATATTATTGTTACGATATTATTGGACGATGAATATTATTGTTGGAAAAACCTCATCGCTGGTCCCAAGATTGGTATTTTACCGTAAATCGTTTAAAACGTCCCTCTACCCACCTGACACCGGTCTTACTCCATGGATAAATAGACTTACCACTTCGTGATGAGGTGCGTGGTGTTGGCTGGCCAACAATTTCTTGATGCCGATGAATCCGGAGACGAGCAGGGAAATCAAACTGGCCAATAATGCCTTCTTGGCGATCAAAGCGATGACGATGTAAGCGATAACGGCGAATGCGGACAATTTGACTTTCAATGCGATCAAGAGTGGGATAAGTTGTTTCATGAATTTCTTCTTCTTCATCATACCACGGCCTATTTTATAAATAATGTTTCGTTAGCAAACAATAATCAGAAAAAATAGCGTATTTTGATTAGTCTCATTTGTATAACTAAGGTTTTTTATTGTTACAATAAATTTTATAGTTTGAGAATATGAAACAAAAGTTTTTTAGTTTTTTCTTTTATCTTATAGTTTGAATTTAATTTATATATTTTAAGATGATTTGCGTATTATTGATTACATGATGCAAATAATAAATTAATAATTAAGTTAATAATATAGATAAAAATATATTGGTATCTGTACGTTAATGTAAATAAAAAGTTTAAACTTATTGAGGTCAAGAACATTTATTTAATGTACGACGAGAACGATTAAAATGAAAAGTGTATTGATTTAAGAATAATAAATGCATCTCGTAATTACCTTCTTCGATGTAATTGGCGATTTTGTTTTTGAACTGGCTCGGGATCTGGTCAGCAACGCTGCGGGCGGTTTCGGAGACTTCGGTGATGATTGGCGAGAGGTTCCAGTGGAGGGTCCTTTCCTGGAAGAAACGCATGACCTTGTGCATGGTGAAGTCCTCAAGGGCGGCCTCGCGGTCGTTGGAGTCCTTGGCGTTCTCCACGTTGTTGATGTCTTCGGTGTTCTCGGCGGCCAACGATCTGCCCTTTTTCTCGGTCTTGACCAAGGAGAATCCTCCCATAAGCTCGACTTTGTCCTGGTCGAAGAACCGCCGGGCGGCCCTGTAGAACTGCATCTGCGCGCATTCGAACGAGTCCGGGTTATTTGCGCATCCGTCGTCCTGCTGCTTTGCCGCCGGTATCGGGTCGGCCAAAGCCAAACACACGCACGCCGACAACACTATTCCGAACTTAAACGCGACACCCATTGCGATCGTGGTTTTGGGTATATTTTTTATTCTTGTGATGTTTTCCTGCTGCTGCTGCTGCTGCTGTTGTTCCGTTGAACTGCACGAGTACAATGATGGAAAGACCGGGCGGCCGGCGTATTTATACTGAAACTCTGCCCACCCGTTTTCGCTTTTAACCGTGCGACCAGTCGTTGACGCCGCCGAGGACCGGACACACAACAACATCCGCCCAGGCCCGCTCCGCGCGCCCGCCCATTTCGCCCGACTTTCTTATGCGCTCGTCTCGTGTCTCCTCGAGCGCCTCCTTTCTTCGACCGTGAACGTACTTGAACCGAACACCGGACGCGCATCGTTGGACCGTCTTCGGAATCGATCCGGTTGCGCCGCCGCGTTCCCGGACCGTTTTCACGGCTCCGGCGTGTAGAGCCGAGTAGAGGCGTGTAGCGCACGAGTCGGTTCGATCGTTTTTACCGGCGCGTGAGTGCCGTCTCGCCGAAACCACGTCACCGCGAGGCGACTGCTAATATTGTAACCGATGACCGTGCCGTACCGAAGAGTGCCACCGTCACACGATTATTATTGAACTGTTTTTTTTTTCTTATTATTCTTTTTCTTCTTCAAACCGTTGTAAATTAAAAAAAAAAAAAAATCCAAGGGAGAAACTGTTTTCTCACGTCATTCTCACGACAACATGCACGTTATAATACGTGCGCTTTGCAATGAAACTTATTTATGTAAGCGCCGTTGCGTTCACGAAACGCATGGTTAGAAAAACGCATCTGCTGATGCATCAAAAAACGAATCGTCCCTCGGCGTGATCCGATTTCGAAATGTAATTCGTTAAAAGTTTTTATCGTTATCTTATTCGAATTAGACCCTGTTAAAAACGTTATGGGATTGTACGTACAATCTTATGCGTGGATTTAGATGTTATGTTTCACTAGAAGATGTACTGCGTTATATAAATATAATAAAGCGTACAATATCAGAGGCTTAGTAGTTGTAATATTTGTAGTATTCGTAACCGATTTTCGTCAATAATAGTTCGTCGTATGCCTGAAAATCGTCGAACCGCGTTCTGGCAAATGATATTATTTTACGAGATAGTTGCGCCGGTACACTACGAGCCGACGGTATTGATAATATACAAACGCAATATGCGTATTATTTGTTTCTATCGAAACGTGACAAGAAGGAACGTGACCGAACACATAAAATACCGCAATCTACGAGAATCAACATCAGCATCAGCAGCGGTACGGCGAACGGCGACTGTGACAATTATAACGACAACACTTGCAGACTTTGGTTGCAGTTTTCGATGTAAATTGTTCTACCATCGATGATGATGACGATGGACGATTGCAGAAATATCGAAAACACCAGTAGCCCGAATATGAGTCGTCAAAACTTTTCAAATCTCGCGTGACCAACGTGTAACGTACTACAATCCGGTGCTGTTCGAGTACGTTCTATCGTCGAGGGTCGTGCTAAAATGTTCCTCAAAACGTCACCGCGGCGGAACAGTAACCGTTTCACCGACAACGCGATTTGGTGGTCGTCATCGTCACAGGTTGCACGACCGTAGTCGAAATCATAGTAGATCACGTGTAAATATTTTAATAAGATCAGAATCGGTTGTTGTCGATGCACGATTTAACATTCGCAACCGTGGACGACGGTCGAATCGCGTTGCTAGCAGTGGCGTTCGTGATCTATAAAAAATGTTGGTTCAAATTGGTTTGAATCCTACACACCCGATGAACCGTCGATCAATAGTTAATGGATATATAATAAAAAAGTTTAAAAATTAAAGTTACTCAACGGGTATTTATGACGAAAATATAAGTATCCACACAGGCAGATGACTATTAACAATCGCATTCGTGCGCAGGCGACGAAGAGTCCTGACCACGGTAACGTGTACCGTTATCACTGGTAACCGTGGTCTTAACGTGTCTGGGACGCGTCGAGATCGCCGGGCGACGTACACATATCGCCACTGGTGCCCCCGGGGCACGCCTTGTCTTCGGACGCACCGCCGTAGACCCATTACCGTTCATTATTGTCTCTATTGCTACTGGCTGCGTCATGTTATTATTGCGCACTTTGTTGTAGTGAACCGTTTCGCGTTTACCGATTGTTATTTTTTTTTTTTTTTTTTTACATTACGGCTGCGAGCAAACGCTCGCACATGTACACGATTGCTGATATTGTTTATGTGCGCGTGTGCACGGTACATAATAGCAGTTTTCACTTAATTGTTTTAGCTGGAAGGCTAGCGCCATCGCCGGTAGCCGGCCGGTGTTATTCGTACGCGTTTATACGGCGGATACGCTCACCGAGATCGCCGATTATCCGCCATTGTACGCCGACGTCCGTAACCGATGAACCGCGCGCGCGTAATACGTATCTGCGACGCTCTGCGAGTGTCGTTTTCATTTTTATTTTCCTTGTCCTTCGTAGCTCGTGAACATTTATGGACTTTCGACGCGTTTTCCATCCGTCCTGTCTGTGCGTGTAATAAATATCCTGCACGTGTATGTTGTATACTGTTCGTGTGCGATCGCATAACGCGCGTGTGCGATTATTTCGACCGCTCGTTTGTGCACCGGAAATTTCACTTTTAATTCGACCCAACAAATCCGTCCGGTGGTCTGCTGCACCGCTCTCACATTCTTAACGAACTCGTCCGTTTACGGATCCGAATCTCAAAAACCGAATTCCATCGATTCATAATACATAATACATGTGTACGGTTGACGCACGTGTTTACGAGAACGAACCGAATCGTTTCACGTGTAATCACTGTCAGATGCGGTCGTTAAAGTCTCTATATAAACGTGTTGACGCAAAATATAATATTATAATGTTTTCAACTCGTCAATAAAAATAAATAGAATATATGATATAGTATAATAAACATCTCTATAACAACCTGTATGACAGCCATGTACAAGTCACGAATGTAGGTCCGTCTCTTGTATTTATACAAGTTCTGTGCGTTTGCTGATGTTTAATCGTAAATACTTAGTTACGTCAGGGTCGGAATCGATAATATATCCAAATATTTAAAAAAAAAATGATTTACTACGAAATTTTACGATCAAGTTGGAAAAACGTACCGTTATTTTTAGACTGTGATGGACACTTTTAAAATTTATTTCCTAAACAAGTTGATAATCTGCAATGGAAGAATACCGTTAAAATTGACTGCTGTTTTTTTGTCCGAGTGAAAATATATTAAGTCTCTATAAACGAGTCGACGAGAAATATTCATAATATTACGATCTAAATGTATAGCTCGTTAATTAAAATATGTATAACAGATATATATATATATATATATATATACATGAGTATACTCAAACCTGCCCTAACAGTCGTGTACAAATCTGACGACGAATATCATTTTGATACTATATAAGTGCATTAACTATTTTTAAATAGTTATATACTACTATAGTAGTATGTTATTCTTCAATAAATTATTTCAATTAAAAAATATATAAGAAACAAAACCAATACAGTTGATGTATCTAAATCCAGAGAACATAGAGCTATAACTTATCTGTGATATACACAAAAAAATCTTTTGGGAAATATTTCGTTGACTACTTAGGTCCGATCTACTTTAATCAGTTGCCATCAACAAAAAAAAAATAAAAATATTCATAATGATTTTAAGAACGATAAAAAAATTGTATGTAATTGGCTATTTTCTGAAATAAATATTTCTCAGTAAAATCCGCGGTTAATGTATGTTATTGAATATTTTTAAATATTTTTAGTTTCTTAAGTATTTAGTTTATCTTCTTACATTTCTTATTAATTGTTTATAATTTTATTTTATTTATTTTCTTAATTTTAATTTTACTTTACGATCGCTTGATAACATTATGCTTCACCATAAGCCTAGGCTTATAGGAGTAGATATATTCTTTATTCTTATATTATAATTATTTTATATTTTATTTGTAATAAAATGTAAAGAAATCAATAAAATACAAAAATAAAAAATAAAAAAAATAATTTCAAACACTTCGTTAATTTCGAAAGTTCATATTGGTATAAAAACGATTTCGGTAGTGTATGCGTTTAAGAGAGTCAAAGTCTAAACGTTTTCATACAATAATCGTTAGGTAAATATGCCAAAACGTAAACCGCAATGAAGACGAGTAGAACCATAATAATCATGTATTCGTACACGTCCACTTCGACTAAATAAAAAAAAAAAAAAAAATTAAAAAATTAAAATCCGGAATTCAACGGTTTAACGTTTAAACATAATTTATAGAATAATTTATATGAGTAAGAACTTTCGCCAATAGGTCAAGAGGTCATTTTCACACACATAAAATACATACTTAGAACGCGCGCGCGCGCGCACGCACACACACACACACACACAGACACGCTAAAAAAAAAAAAAAAAAAAGAGTAATATTATACCAGTTTTGATTTATTTTATTAATGAGACGAAGACTACTTTCGGATTTACCGTGTTAACGTACGCAGTTGGTCTTCCAGAGACGGGAAACGTATGCAAACTCGAGGTAGTGTCTATATACTACTTTGTCTACTACCGGTACACAGCTATTAATGAATAATATTCACGCGACGATTGATTTACCGTAGGTTTCTGCGGTCAAAAACCGAACAAGCTCAGCCCGTACATCGTTGTAGCCATGTGTCCAGATGCGTATACGTATATAAATATTAACGACATTGTTCCGTTCGTCGTCTACAGCGTACAGTCGTTTACGTGCGTTTTACGCTAATGCTCTGTTAACACAATGCGGTCAGGTTTAACGTCGTCGTCGGAGCAATTTTCCACGACAGTGGTCAGCGTCTCGGCGGCAGCGGCGGCCGTGTACTGCAGTTATATATAGTGTGCACATCCATTCACGGTAGCGATGTAAGTGAAATAAAAATGTAAAAGACGCAACAAAGCCCATGACGATTCAGTGCGTTCCCGAACATTCGATTAACGAACGCGCGCGCTTTAATGTCGTCTATTATAGGAAGGAAAAAAAAAAAAAAACCAAACCCGTTCGGGCTCAACTTTCTTTTATGATATTCTCCGCAGTGGCGATACAGATACGAAAATAATTATATCATG